TAGTCTATCACTGCTAAATTAGGGACGGCTAGCGCAGATAGCCCTCGTGTAGCTTTGCGCGAAATTCAAAAAATAAAAAACAAAGAATATTTCATTCAAGCATTTCAAATAAAGTCGAATTAACACGAGAAATTTTTGTTTCCATTATTTTAAACACCTCGTTGAAGTAATTTGGCATTTATTGTTTTCCAAATGTAACTAATCTGCAGAACAGCTAAACAAACATTTCCAGTTCAGTTTTTCACGTACACATCTTCATTCTGCCTTTACAATCGAAGTATTTTCATGCATCCAGTATTGGAGGCCACTCAATTACGTCTGAACAAAACAAAATGCAGTGAGTACACAACTTCATAATTGTTTTCGGGCACTCCTGTCTAACTGTATCCTATTATAATTTTATTTGTACTAATATTATTGACAATGAAGCATCCATGTGATTAAAATGATCCGGAAATATGAGTCCTTTTAGAAAAACAAGTGTGGATTTAAATTCCAAATATTTCCTGAATTAGAAATCAATATATATATATAATATAAGACAGGTGTTTATATGTCTATTTTATCTGTTCCATCGGGTAAAAATAAGTCCCTTTTTTACATAGGCAATGATATAATTTATCTTCAAGTGAAATATGTTGATCCTTACTGGAAAATCAGTATCGGAAATAACGCTTGTAACCTAACTCTATAAAATATAGGTTTGTAAAAGAAAATACATTAACTTTCAAGCATTAAAAGCAGTCTATCTTCTTGTCACAAGCCACTCAAGTTTAGGAGTCGTTTGTTTTTTCTTTGATCCATTCTAGTACAAATTTCAAAAACTTGGAGGAGCTATTTAGATTATGGTTTCATAAATTTGTATTTTTAGATCCAAAATAACGAGATTCACGAGTCCACAGCCCGATCCTCAATAAAACTAAACTCTACAAAAACCTAAGGAAACTATTACCAACGGTGATGTGGTCACATCAAATGGGTGAGCCGACTCCATAGGATTGTTTGTTTGTTTGAAGTTAAGCACAAAGCTACACAATGGGCTATCTGTGCTCTGCCCACCACGGGTATCGAAACCCGGTTTCTAGCATTGTAAATTCGCAGACATACCGCTGTGCCACTGGGGGGCCCATAGGATTGTCATAAAAACAAAATGATTACTATATTTACATTGAAACAAGTGTCGTTTTTTTATTATATCAGATCTTTGTTTGAGGATGTTAAAAAAATATTACACATGTGATAGAACAAGCTGGTTAACTATTAATTCTGACGTTTGTTATGTTTTTGAATTTCGCTTGAAGCTACTCGAGAGCTACCTGCTTTAGTCGCCCGGAAGGAAAACTGGTGAACACCATCCCACCGCAAACTCTTAGGCTACTCTTGTGAGACCGAATAATGGGGTTTGACATCACACTTATAACGCAGTCAAGACGCAAAGTGTGGAGCGCCAATTTTATGTGTTCTTTTGTAATCTGAATGTGATCTATAGAACATCAAATCCACATTCCAGTGGACTTTGTTGATAAACATATGGTATAAAGTGTTATACAGAGTGTCGATAGACATATGGCATAAAGTATTATACAGAGTGTCGATAGACATATGGTATAAAGTATTATACAGAGTGTCGATAGACATATGGTATAAAGTGTTATACAGAGTGACGATAGACATATGGTATAAAGTGTTATACAGAGTGACGATAGACATATGGTATAAAGTGTTATACAGAGTGTCGATAGACATATGGTATAAAGTGTTATACAAAGTGACGATAGGCGTGTGGTACAAAGTGTTATACAGAGTGACGATAGACATGTGGTACAAAGTGTTATACAGAGTGACGACAAACATGTTATACAAAGTGTTATACAGAGTGTCGATAGACATATGGTATAAAGTGTTATACAGAGTGACGATAGACATATGGTATAAAGTATTATACAGAGTGTCGATAGACATATGGTATAAAGTGTTATACAGAGTGTCGATAGACATATGGTATAAAGTGTTATACAGAGTGTCGATAGACATGTGGTACAAAGTGTTATACAGAGTGTCGATAGACATATGGTATAAAGTATTATACAGAGTGTCGATAGACATATGGTATAAAGTGTTATACAGAGTGTCGATAGACATATGGTATAAAGTGTTATACAGAGTGACGACAAACATGTTATACAAAGTGTTACGCAGAATGACGACAAACATGTTATACAAAGTGTTACGCAGAATGACGATAAACACGTGATACAAAGTGTTATACAGAGTGACAATAGATATGTGATACAAAGTGTTATACAGAGTGACAATAGATATGTGATACAAAGTGTTATACTACTCAACACCATCTACCGCCAATTCTTGTGCTACTTTTTTTTACTTAAATAAAAAACAAGTATTTAAAAGTCGTCACGAAAAGAACGTTTTGTATGTCATGGACATGTGTGGTCATGGTTTACAATGTAATATGAACCACAACTCGAAATACTAATATATATATATATATATATAATACATCACAACTACTAACAAGAAACTGATTTGTCAAATCCATAAATTCTAATAAATGCAAATGCCACTTTTAGTTGATTATATTAATTTATACGACAATTAATAATCAAATATTCCGTTTTATTCTGCGTGCCTTTGTTTCTCTCCCTTTTTATATTACATCTATATTTTTCTCTTTTCTTTCTTTCTTTCCGTTGTTACTAGTTTTGCTTTAATATATCATGCCCACCTAGCTACAGGCTTGTTAAACACACAGCGGACATATCTTCGTCGTGACGTCATATTCGCAGAAATTCCCTTTTATTCATTGGAATCAGAAACGAATGAAAACGCACCTAAAGAGGAACCTTAGACATTTGTAGATTTTCAAGAGAATCGCTTGTTTGTTTGTTTTGGAATTTCGCGCAAAGCTACACGAGGGCTATCTGCGCTCAAGAGAATCGCAATATAACATGGCTAAGCCAAGCTACCTAAAATCGCAATATAACATGGCTAAACCAAGCTACATAAAACTGCGATATAACATGGCTAAGCCAAGCTACATGAAATCGCAATATAACATGGCTAAGCCAAGCTACATAAAATCGCAATATAACATTGCTAAGCCAAGCTACATAAAATCGCAATATAACATGGCTAAGCCAAGCTAGATAAAATCTCAGTATAACATGGCTAAGCCAAGCTAATAAAATCGCAATATAACATGGCTAAGCCAAGCTAGATAAAATCTCAGTATAACATGGCTAAGCCAAGCTAATAACTCAAACTGGCCGATACGGTACAGTGGCCAACAATACCATAATAAATCCTATTTGTTATCTGCGATCGATACACCAGTTAATAACAATATAATAAATTGATATAATGAATTATCACCGCCAACGTATTTATTAATAATGATAGATATACGAAAAAACTGCTACGAATTATATAACCACATGATACAATCAATAATAAATGGTAACATGTCAATCAATAATAACTGATATGTTAAACAAACGTAGAAATTAATCCATGCCAAAGATGGGCCTTTCATCATTAGGGGCAAAACCAGTTTGCTTCCGTTAAAGAAATTTATACCTTTCAAAAGCGCCCAGGTTATAGGGTTTCTTTCTTTTTTTTCATTCATATTTTGAACCTACGTGTTTTCTTAACATCATTAATCAAGAAAGGGAGCATTTATTACCAATGATTTATACAAAATAATTATTATAATTTGGTAAGTTTGTTTGTTTGTTTGTTTGTTTGTTTGTTTTGAATTTCGCGCAAAGCTACACGAGGGCTATCTGCGCTAGCCGTCCCTAATTTAGCAGTGTAAGACTAGAGGGAAGGCAGCTAGTCATCACCACCCACCGCCACCTGTTAGGCTCCTGTTTTACCAACGAATAGTGGGATTGACCGTCACATTATAACGCCTCTACGGCTGAAAGGGTGAGCATGTTTGGTGGGACGGGGATTCGAACCCGCGACCCTCAGATTGCGAGTTGAGTACCCTAGCCACCTGGCTATGCCGGGTAATTTGGTAAGAAAAAACCAACAACAACACACATACAATAGCACTCGACACTATAACAACACCTGTTGTTGGAAATTATAATAATTTAAAAACGTAATAACACTTATCCTAGCTCTCTGAAAACGTACTGAGAGGTGTGACAGTTCCTATTCACGACGCGTATCGTAATTTCAATTACTTCTAAATTTCGTTTTCAAGTCTTCGTGTACGTTGTTACAGCGCAAAATAAACATACAAGTCTTTAAAAACTAAAACGCGTCGTTAAAAACACAAAACAATGTGTCATTATCCGAAGAAATAGCGAAATAAAATGTTATCATCGCTTCGACTACTTTTTGTTTTAGTTTGAAGAGTTCGGTCGTAATTTGAGTGGAAGGGTGCAGTTCTTAACACGATCTAAAGATAAATCGAATTCGTTATTTGATTCGAGTGACGGGCCTTATAACCTCCGTCAACTAAAAGCATTGTTTTAATAATTCCGACTGTTCCGTGTTTTAATCAAATTGTATTTGTTAGCTCCTCGTGATCTCGAACTTTTCACCATTCTCATTTGTAAGAATCGTTTTAAACATATTGTAACATAACGAGTCGTTCAGCAACACCTTTCATATTCATTCTCGTACATTTTCAACTCCAATTAATACCAGCTAACTGGAACTGTACACACATAGAAGATGTAGGAAATTCCTTGTATTATTGATATTAAAAAGGTTCGGTATCACTTGTGCGATTCTAAGAATCGGTTGTTGCACTAAAAATATTGATATGAGAACATCGGAAAGACGCGATATCAGAATTTTCCGGTTGTCATAGAATTTCAGGATGTTTCAGGAAAGCAACTCGCGCACATTGCTAAGAACGAAGCACCAACCAAAAGCAAGGTGCGTGCTCACGTTCTATCACGTATGTAAGGCTCTCTATTGGAACTTTTAGTTACTGTCATTCCGTTTCTGTACTTCGTTCGGGACTATAAAAGTCGTGCATGTCTCGTGCCCCTTTTTTGTATTCTTGCATTTTTAGTTTTGAATAATTCAAAATAATTTATTCATCGGAGCAATCAGTTCTTTAATAAATTTAGAGTGAAAAAAAACTTTACTTGTTTAGGCTTAATAGCATAAGCATTTGGTTTTTAACTTTAAATAATACAAGGATTTTCTCACTCACGATATTTTAAGTAAACTTTGTTATCACAAAACGGAATAAGCTTTGGGAAAACTTATGCAGTAAAATAAAAGGAGTTACTTCCTTTATTTTTGTAATAAATAGTTAAAAACATGATATGCAGATTAATGATCGTGAATTTGGTGTCGTTGGCTCTGTGTTCCACTAGCACGACAAAAACTAGACAGCTGAAGCTGAATGGGGATTTTATTCTTGGGGGACTATTTCCCATGCATGAGGCAAAAGCTGTTGCGGACCCAAGCCAATCTTGCGGACTAATTAAAGAGGAGAAAGGAATTCAACGGATGGAGGCTATGTTGTACGCTTTAGACCAAATCAACCAGGACCCGGACCTTCTTTCCAACGTCACCCTGGGAACTTTCATTCTTGACACGTGCTCTCAAGATACGTACGCACTGGAACAGAGCATGGAGTTCGTAAAGGCATCTTTGACCACCTTGGACGAATCTCAGTACCGCTGTGAAGATGGGATGAAACCGATATACAACCCCCAGAAACCGGTGGTAGGGGTTATAGGGGCGTCATCTAGTTCTGTATCTGTCATGGTCGCAAACATACTTCGGCTTTTTAAGGTAAAGATCAGCTATCTTTTTGAACTTTCTTATCTTCACTCTTCAGCCATATGTTTTGTTTTGTACGAATAGCTTATTCATTCCACCAGTAGATTAAGTAATATAATAACGAAAGTCATTTGGTTACATATGGAAGCAGGATTTATATTAAAGTACGCAGATATACATGCGCACATATGAAAATTGATAACGCCAGGAATAGGGTTCATTCCAAGACATTGCATATGATAGGTGTGAAAGAACAGTTTCTAACAGTAGATGATTTAGATTTTAGAACACCCACTAACAATGGATGATACAACACAGTCTCTAACAGTAGATGATTTAGAACAACCACCAACAATGGATGATACAACACAGTCTCTAACAGTAGATGATTTAGAACACCCACTAACAATGGATGATACAACACAGTCTCTAACAGAAGAAGTTTCGTAACGGCAACTAACAATGGGCGTTATAAGGCATTTCCTGTCTCTAGATAATTCAGAACAGTGATCAACAATAGTTGATACAAAAACATTTTAACAGTAGAGGTTTAATGACTGTGGCTAATAATGGATGATACAACACAGGCTCTAACAGTACAAGTTTTGTGAAAGGTGACTAACAATGGCCGTTATAAGACAATTCCTGTCTATAGATAATTCCGAATAGTGATCAACAATAGTTGATACAAAAACATTTTAACAGTAGAGGTTTAATGACTGTGGCTAATAATGGATGATACAACACAGGCTCTAACAATAGAAGTTTTGTGAAAGGTGACTAACAATGGACGATATAATTGTTTGTTTGTTTGTTTGTAGTTAAGCACAAAGCTACACAATGGGCCACCTGTGCTCTGTCCACCACGGGTATCGAAACCCGGATTCTAGCGTTGTAAGTCCGCAGACATACCGCTGTGCCACTGGGGGGGCCGACGATATAATACAATTCCTGCATATAAGTAATTGAGAATAGTAACCAATAATGGATGAAAAGTCTGTTTTTAACAGTAGAGGTTTAATGACGATGGCTAACAATGAATGACGCAAGACAGTCCTTGTCAATTGGTATCAAAAACAAACGTTTATTCAAAATAGTTTGTCATATCTTACCGATACTCTTTGTAGAAATGTCTTATATTGATTTATTCTAGACAGACACTAACTATGGCTACAGTAGTATGAGAAGTTCACTGAATAGGGTTTCAGTGACAAAACAGTTGTGTAACATTTCGGTATACCACACAAATTGTAACAACTCTTTATACAAGACTATTTCCAGAACTAGAAAAAGTACAATATTATCTATAATAGATGTCATCAGATCTGGAATAAGTGCCATTACTTTAAAGAGTAAGTGTAATTAGATCTAGAGAAAGTATGATATTATCTAGAATAGATGTCATCAGATCTGGAATAAGTGCCATTACTTTAAAGAGTAAGTGTAATTAGATCTAGAGAAAGTATGATATTATCTAGAATAGATGTCATAAGATCTGGAATAAGTGCCATTACTTTAAAGAGTAAGTGTAATTAGATCTAGAGAAAGTATGATATTATCTATAATAGATGTCATCAGATCTGGAATAAGTGCCATTACTTTAAAGAGTAAGTGTAATTAGATCTAGAGAAAGTATGATATTATCTAGAATAGATGTCATCAGATCTGGAATAAGTGCCATTACTTTAAAGAGTAAGTGTAATTAGATCTAGAGAAAGTATGATATTATCTAGAATAGATGTCATAAGATCTAGGATAATTGTCATTCCATTAAAGAGTAGAATAGTCAGATCTAAATTGTGTGTCATCAGGTCTAAAGAAAATGTAATCAGTTCTAGAGTTAGTGTAACCCGATCTGGAAATACCATACGTATATTGCTCCTAAAAGAAACACCAAATAACGCTTGGTATTGAAGGAAGTACAATTTGTTAGTTTCGGAACTCAACCTGAATTCGCTGACTAAATCCATTAATAAAATTTCCATTTAAACTAAATTCTGGGTAATAACTAAAAGTAGCTTTTTTTTTAACGTTCTGAGAGAAATTCAAAAAGTGTCTTTTACTTTTAGGTAAAAGACATTCGTAATTAAAAATTAGAGGAAACTAGACTCGGTATCCCTTCTTGATTAAACGCTAGAGAATAATGGATAAATAGATCACCGAGAGAGTTGGTATGTAATTCTCACTGGAGAAAAGGAGTTTTATTTCTATCATAAACGTAGGTCAAAGAATTTATTAATTAGATTACGAGAGGAGTTACTGATGTTACTTCAAAGTCTATCGACATTCTTAATTAAGTTCGTTAATTTTAATTTCTAAATGATGTCCTCGGTTACTAGTTAGCAATTCCTTTCGTGATTTAAAAAATTGTTCGAAATGTATGAAATGAATTATACATTAAATGAAAAATCTTAATTAACCATTTCTTTAACGAAAAGGGTATTTACTACATTAAGTATTGTAATGTACATTGTGCAATATCAGGGTATTTACTACATTAAGTATTGTAATGTACATTGTGCAATATCAGGGTATTTACTACATTAAGTATTGTAATGTACATTGTGCAATATCAGTACATATTATATATATATACATAAAATTATTTCCCCCTGACATTCAAAGATACTGCGGTCAAAATTTATTCATTATATAAGGAGTTAAGTGCACATACATATATATTGTGACGTGTTTAATATATATTTGTGCGCTTATATACATGACTTTTGTATTATTTGTGTATGTGTGTTTGTGTCTTATAATTTATGTTCTGGAAACAACTTATTTTACAAGTGTGCATGAATTATTTTGAGTCGTTTTTTTGCTCTTTTGTTTTATACAGTTTACATTGTTTGTTGAAATGCGTAAAGTATCCGTGTAAATATCACAACGTTTTATTTCAAACGTTCTGGTAAGGATTTGGTAAGCTGCATTGTGACGTCACAGAATAATATTGACGTCATTGGACTGATTATATAATGCAAAATAGTCAAGATGAGTGTAGTGATTGTTATTACGATAAACGAAAATCACCCGATTGTTTGCTGAATTTCATGCAAAGTTATCTGTGTTTGCTGGCCCTAATTTTGATACGACAAGGTAGAGAAAGGGCAGCTAGTCAACACACCCACCGCCAATTCTCGGCCTATATTTGTCAACCGTAATAGTAGGATTTGATTGTTACTCATATTACAAAATTGCAGAGCGTGATTTTTTTGTTCACGGTAACGAACGAAAACCATGATGGAATCCCAGATCCCTAGTCTGGAACGCTAACAACTGGGCCGCGCTTGGTTCTTTTCTCATCACTAACTTGTGCTATATAATGTACGAAAAATAGCGTTCATAGTCTTGCTAAAGATCATTAACACACATTTAAACTCTCAGTGGTTCATTTATGACGCAGTATTCTTTGATGCCGATCAGTTTTAGTGACAAGAGGCAAAAAAAAGCCTTTGACAGTTAAAACACAACAAAGGACACAGAAATACAAAGCGTTTTAAACTCTGTTGTAAATCAACCTTCTCGTTGGTTATTCTTCTCGTGTTAAGACAGTAGAATCTTGGTTGAATTTTGTATTACTTGACTACTATTAATGCATTAACTTACTTCTTACTGGCTTGAAACGATTCAACGCTACGACCACGTTCAAACTTAATAACAAAATTTTGGTCCTATTTTTAAGACTCCTTCTCGAACCGTATCCAATCTAGCCTATTTCAACAGCAAATTTTCGGTCCTCTTCTTTGAACCGTATAAAAGCTAATCTATTTCAACAGCAAGCTTTCGGTCCTATTTTTAATTTGTTTGTTTCTTTGTAATTAAGCACAAAGCTACACAATGGGCTATCTGTGCTCTGCTCACCATGGGTATCGAAACCCGGATTCTAGCGTTGTAAGTCCGCAGACATACCGCTGTGCCACTGGGAGGCCCTATTTTTAAAAGCAACTCCAAACTAATCCATTTTAATAACAAGGTTTAGGTCCTGTTCTTCGGGACGACTACAAACTAACCCATTTTAATAACAAGCTTTAGATTTTGTTCTTTGGGCCATCTCCAAGCTAACCCTATTTAATAACAAGCTTTAGATTCTGTTTTTAGCGCCGACTCCAAACTAACCCATTTTAATAACAAGCTTTAGTTTCTGTTCTTAGGGCTGACTCCTTGCTAACCCATTTTAATAACAAACTTTAGTTTCTGTTCTTAGGGCTGACTCCGAGCTAACCCATTTTAATAACAAACTTTAGTTTCTGTTCTTAGGGCTGACTCCGAGCTCACCCATTTTTATAATAAGCTTTAGTTTCTGTTCTTAGGGTTGACTCCTAGCTATCTAATTTTAATAACAAGCTTTATGTCCTCTTCTTAGAAAGCTCTCGGCCTCTGTTTCTAGAAATGAAAGATTGTTACTAAAATAGTTTTATGAGTTTTCCAAAGTGCCAATCATTTATGGCTTGTTATTACAAAATCTTCGTGGTGTCTCAGGGAAAATAGAGTTTCTATTACAGCGATTATTGCAGCCATTAGTGTGTTAGTAACAAACTTTGGTGTTTCCAGTGTCTTCGAATCTCGTAACTTGTCTTTTTATTCAGGTGCTGAAATAATTCACAGTGATATGGATTATCATAGATCTGTTGACACTATTACTCAGTATATTAACTCAGTCTATACAACAGAATCATTATTGAACCGAAAATCCAACAATATGATTCTATTAAGTTTAACTCGTGTTATAATACTTTGTAAATTCCATTCGTGCATATAAGTATTCTTTAAGATCTTGTTTCTTTCATAGTTTGAAATAGCCGCGTTTAACTAAAGATGCTGATGGCTGTATTATTATTAGTTGTAGTAAACATACGTTTGTGTTTTAAGCGTAAAGCTACACAATGGAGCATTTGCACTCTGCTCAGTGCGGGTATCCAACCTCGATTTTTAGCGTTATTATATCTCAAATTTACCGCTGATCCACCAGGTGGATTTAAGTCGCGAACTTAGCATCTGCCTCATCTGGC